GTTTAGGGTTTAGGCTTTAGGCTTCTGCAAAGAATCCCTGAAGGCCTCTTACAAGCCCTACAAGCGAAGTACATCCAGAATCTTTAAACCCTATAATCCCTATAAGCCCACTCAAAACGGTTACGGTAATGTACGTAAGTTCTAGAAGCCTTCCAAGAAGCACCCAGCCCAGCCTGAACCTTTATAAGCTATAAGGCTCAAAATCTAAACATCCAGAGCCTCAAAACGCTCGAAGCCTGAATCCTACACAGCCCTTAAGTCCCACATCCCCACACAACCGAAGGCATCACGTGCCCAGACCTTTCTCTGGCCAGGAAATGCGGCAAGCCAAGCAAAGATATCGAGAGCAGGCGAAGGCATGAAAGGGCAAGGGAAAGCAGCTCTTTGGGTCGAGGGTTGGCAAACGGTTCAGATTTGGAGTGTGTTCGAGGCTTTTGCTTTAGGGTTTTGTTCGGATTATGAGGCTTAGAATACAGCAGAGCATCACGACTATTGCGCATACGCACCCAGATCGTCCCGGCATAGTATATAAGACAAGTTACATGATTGTTGTAATGCCCCTTGTATCCCAGCTGAGATGACCCTTCGTCATGCCTGTTATGGAGCTTGCCGTTTCGGCTTCTTGCTCTTTGTGCAGACAGTGACAGGTTGAGACAGTGTCAGTTTACATGCCAAACAAGATGGTTAATGGTTGATCGATGCTTGGTCCAAAAGCTGTCTGTCATGAACTGCGAGACAGGCTTGTCCACGCTAGTTGCATCCGAAAGCCACCATCCTCACGCAGGGCAGACATAAACCCTCGACCAAGACCATACACCTCGAAGCCCAAACCATAAATCAACCCAAGTGCCACCCTATATACCTTGCACGGAGCAGGCTTTGGTTGCCGCAACCTGGCGGCCGGAGCAGCTATGGTGGCATCAGAGCCATGCGTAGGGTTGAAGGTTTATGAGAGAGTCATGTCGAGTTGAGGCTGTATGGGTCATATTATACACATAGTTAATTATTCAGCGGGCCGCAACAACGCATGTTATATACAATTTCGTATTTCATGTATACGTAGGATGTGTTTACTATAGAGTTTTGGGGATACGGTTTGAGTTTTGGTTTGCGCCTTCGGTTTATGAGCCTCGAGATTGGGGGCTGGGGTTTGGGGGATCTTCGCGGTTCAAAGCCGTTGGGACTGCAGCTTTTGGTACTTTACGGCATTAGGTATAGAATGTTAAGTTTTGGGTTTCGGATTCGGGATCTTGGGTTTGGGGTTCAGGCTTCCGGAGACTTGTGCTGCATGCTGCAGACCTGGGCGTGCTGAAAGAAACAAGTACATGCTGGTGCGAAGTGAGAATCCACCCCTTCTCACTTCCGCGGTGTAGAGAGTAGTTTCCGGATCATATGTGTTGCAAGTGGGAAGTCATGTCTGCCGTGGCCTCTTGGATGCTTTTGAGGCCACGCAGCGTGGAAACTGCTGATGTGATTGAAAGGAGGCCGGGGGGACTGCAAGACTCCTTGGCAGACTGATCTCGCTGAGTTCCTCGAAGCTCGTGGTAGAAGAGAGCCTGATGAGTCAAGAGCCTCTTGTAAAACTAGATTGAAAGATGTCAGCGACGTGTGTTGTCTTGCGAAATCCGAGTTCTGCACTGAACATGCACTGGCTCAGGAACGCATTAAGGCTCGGAGAGACGAATCTAAGGTCATCTGGCACTTCCCGAGGCGCGCCGCCATGCCCCAGCAGCCGGAAGCAAAATCTCTCGTTCACCTGACCGAAGTCCCTGCCGGCTGGCCCCTGGCCACCGTCATCGACGCCTTCGTTCACTTGGCTGCTTATCATGCAAGACGAGCTCTTGAGGCGGTGAGCCGTCGGCTCGTGGAGCTCTGGGCCTCGCAGCCGGCGGAGGCCGAGGCCTGGCTGAAGCGGTGCCGGGAGCTCTTCGCGAAAGAGCTCGCAGGCCAGGAGACGAGGCCGGAGCTCCTCCGCGAGGCGCTGCTCCGGCACGGGTCGGCCGAGTGGGGGAAGTACGGGTGCGGCTACGACTGGCGCCTCTCCGAGGCCGGGCTCCTGCAAGAGCCGTGCGGCTCAGCAGCAGAGCGGGAGGCGGAAACGGCTTCGTACCTGCAGAGTCCCTTCACCCGCGACCGCTGCCGGGAGCTCGCGGAGCGGCTCGCGGCGGCGGAGAGCCAGGAGACGGCGCGGAAGCGGCAGAAGCTCGAGGAGGAGACCGCCGAGCGCCGGCGCCTCGAAGCGGAGCTCCAAAAGTCGCAGGAGGAGGGCCGAGAGCTATGCAATCGCCTGGCTGCGGCCGAGGTGGAGGTGTCATGCAAGACCGCGGAGCTCCAAGCTGCGCAGAGCGAGATCGCCAAGTGCAAGGACTGCGAAGCGCTTGCGACTCGAACAGCAGCTGCCGAGACAGCGACGGCAGAGATTCGCAAGGAGCTCGGGCAGTTGCAGGGAGAGCACCGCAAGTGTCAGCAGCACTGCGAGGAGCTTGTGGCTCGATTGGAGGCAGTGGAAGCAGTGGCTTTCAAGCATGCGGCGAACGAGGACCGGGTGACACTGGCAGAGCTGCAGATCACAAAGGCAGTCCTCCAGGACAGGTGCGAACAACTTCAAAAGCAGCTTGACAGATCAGACGGTCACATGAAAGTTGCCTGGGAAGAGAAGGCGACCTACCAGGAGCGTTGTCGCCAGCTGGAGCAGCAGCTTTTTGAGCTGAAGCAGACACATTCTGCTCTGATGAGCGGCGGGATCTCTGATCCCAAACTCACCTGCCAACACCTCGGTCCCAGTGACACAGCTTCCAGCAACCAGGAGCCGAAGGACGCCGAAGAGTTGAGATACACTCTGGTGGACGTTGCCTCCTCTTCCACCTTCAGCCCCTCCACATGGTTCTCGGTGAAGCCCGACTGCTTCATGCCAGATGCCATCTTTAAAACCCGGGGCGCTGGTATCGACTTCTGGCTCATGGGCAGGGACCTGCGGAAAGGATCGCGAGTGGTAGCTGGAGATGACAAGACCATCTTGGAGGTCTGCTATGCTCCGGAGCTTCGCCCCGTCAAGCAAATCGTCCGCTTGCAGGCTGGGGCTGCGATGCTGCAGGTCACGCCAGACCATCTGGTAGAAGTTCCGAGCACCGTGAAGGATCGAGAGGGCGGAGCCAGCAGCCTCTACGTCGAAGCTGGAAGCCTGGAGAAGGGCATGTTCGTCATGTTGGATTCGGGAGAGCCCGAAGCTCTCACGAGCGTTGAGTCTGAATGCGGTGACTTTGAGGTGCTGAAGCTCACCTTCAAGCCCAATCTCTCCGTGAAAGTCTTCTCCTGCCCTCCCTGCATCCTGAGCAGGGGTGCCAGCATGAAGCCGTCTCGCCGTGGGAAGATGTGCGAGCGGCTGCGCGGTCGCCCGTCAACCACCGAGGAGACTTCAGATGTTGGAAGAGCTTCCATGCCCAACACCGCTGGGACATCGACTGAGATTCTCTTAAGGGGCCGCTGATCGATGACATGCACAGGAGTGGCTCATTAAAGCAGAGCCTGAAAATGCCCACTAATTCACAACTCCGTGGCGATGTTGCCAAGGCGTTGAGTGCACGGCCTTTCATGCTAGTGACTTGCGTCCTCGAGTTTTCGCCGGAGTCGCTGGAGTGCAGTGCACGTGGTCCTAGGCTCTTGTTGCACACAGATCGGTAGTTGCTCATACTGTCATGGTGCACTGTGATAATATATAGGGGCCTTACAATAATAACTGCATGTACTATTTTGGGGTTCTTTGTTATATTATAGTATTATGGGCCCCAAAACCCTATTGTAAGTATTCAGGCCCCTACATTATTGCCAATTGGTGCTGATAGTTTATATGGCTGAGCAGTGGGGCCGGCAGTGCCGGCACGAAGGCTTTCCTCAATCTTCCCGGGGCACGGCTCGCAGTTTTGCACCTGGCGCCGAAGATCGCCAGTTTACTTTGAAGCGATTCTCTGCGAGGTTTGTGCCGCAGAAAAAGGTAGACCACAAGCTGCTGCTGAATTCCGAGTACGGCGGGCTACTGAGAGACTACTCGTGTGGCTTGCTGAGCCCCCATGCAGACTGCTTTGGCATGCGCTCCCTCTTGGAAGATAAGTGGGAACTCCGTAAATGCTGTTGATGCTTTGTGTGCAGGCGTCGGATAAACTGCCTCGTCTTTCCAGACACGCAGGCGCAGGCAGGGCTGCACTATGTGAATTCTTGGTTGGGTCTATGCCGAGTGCCCAACCCGATCGACACCGTGTAGTACAACCTTATCCTGAAACTTTCGATGTTTCTCAAACCATCATATGATATATGTCTCAATTGCTCACGAGGCTTTCAGCAGTCGTACTGGGTGCCAAGGAAGGGAGTACAGCAGTTCGAGCTACAACAGCAGCCTCACTACTTCCAGTCTCCTTGAAACCCTCAGGCCCATTCAAACTGAAGCTTGACCCATAGGCCAAATAGTTCCTTTTTGGGATTACCTAATGGGATCCTAAATATACGCCACAAAAAGGAATGGGGCCGATGGGGAACCTCCGCAAGCTAAAAGACATGGCTCAACTCCCATTTTCGAAAGTATCATCTTTCACCCCATGTAGCCAGGCTCTACTAGAGCTACAAGAGTCATTCGAGTCCTCTGCAACCGAAGCGCATACTGTAGGGGCCTTTATAATTAGAATAGGGTTTTGGTGGCTCCTTATGTAGTTATTTTATAATATACCCCCAAAACCCTAGTCTAATTATTAAGGCCCCTTCTTATAGAACCCCTTCTAGTATCCCCTATAGGACCCCTTGAAAGGAACCCTATTCTAATTGTTGTTAAGTACCCTAAACCCTAAACCCTAAACCCTAAACCGTATTATGCAGGAGCAGACTGCTGCGACGCTGCTTGTGCAGGGCACCGCTGGAGCAAGGGCCTTGCAGTGTGGTTCTGGGTCGTCTTACACAAGCGCTGCCATTGGGGTTTAGGGTTAAGGGTTTTGGGGTTTAGGGTTTTGGGTTTTAGGGTTTAGGGGTTCGGGTTTTGGGTTTAGGGGTTTTGGGGTTTTGGGTTTGGGGGTTTAGGGTTTAGGGGTTAAGCTTCAGCTCAGCCCGTACTGGAGCTACTATGACATGATAAAGCTGTTGTGCTCAGGATCCAAGGATGTGCTAGTCCAACATGAAAATTGAGATGAGAATGCAAGGAATCGATTGCAGAGCCTCCTATGCATGTAGTTCAGGACTTTAGGTAGGTTTTCGAAAAATATTTCAGAATTTCATATTTTTTCGGCCTCAGAATTATGTTGTGACGCATCGGTATGTTTTGAGACCCTCAACAGATGGGTTGAGGCTTTGAGGGAGGCACAGCTATGGAGCGCCCAGGAACGACGGCGGCTCGGTGGCGGCATCGGCACCGGGAGGTTGGCTTCGGCTTTGAGGGCTCATAGTTTAGGGTTTAGGGTTTAGGGTTTGGGGTTTAGGGTTTAGGGTTTGGCGATAAGGATACTAGGGCTACTAGTTTGGGGTTAGAGTTTATAGGGTATGGCTGTAAGGATACTAGGTAAAGGTAGAGGTAGAGCTCTGAGAGTGTGTTCAGGTTTAGGGCTTTAGCATCCCTCCGCATCGGCTTTCACCATACGCTTCAGGTCTCAAGATTCTGCCTCTAGGCTCCATTGTACTTCCTTTTATTTTGTGGTTTAACCAATATTATATTAAGGAACCTATAAGGTAACCCTAAAAAGGAACTACATTGTAGTTCCTTTTTGTGGTTTAACCAAGATTATTTATATTGAGGAACCTATAAACCCCAAAAAGGAACTACAATGGAGACTATAGGTGGGGCTCTGATTTGTCCAGGGGGTCCTCTCTGCATGTTGGGGTGTCAGAGCTGCAGGTCCGTGAAGTGCGAGGGCTCTATTCGGGGCTCGGGGCCTCAGTAGGTCCCAGTATCTCTGGTAGATCCACCGTCCTCAAACACTAAAACGTACACCCCAAACTCGAAACCCTAAACCCTGAACCCCAGATGCGACACCCAAACCCTAGGAATCCTGAACTCCCGCATCTCTACACTCGAAGCCCTATGCCCGAGACCAGACACCACCCATCGGAGGCTCACACTCCAAGTGAAGCCACAGCGCAACGTGAGCCGGATCACCAAGAGACGGGGTCCTGTGACGGGTTTAAGGCATGTAGCGTTTAGGTGTATGTGTGTGTGTATGGTTTGGCACTCTGGTTTGTGTGCATGTCTGAGGTATATATATTAATAGTTGGAGTTTTTGGGTCTTGGTCTGGGGGCAGGTGTTTTTCGGTTCTCGGGCGATTGAAGACTTAGACTTCTCTTGAAATTTTGGATGGATCAGTGGACTTCATAGTTCGCACACGTTTGGCAATAGTTGGTGCTGCACGCAACTCTTAAACTGAAGTTCTCCGACGGCCTACTCACCAAGTCCCCTGCGTTGGTCTCGAAGTACATAAGATGCACCTCTTTCACGATGAAACTCTCAACATCCCTCAGCTCAGGAAGAGACCCTCGGCTCCAGAACTCACCAGCGAAGCTAAGTCTTCCCCCCGAAGCGTCTAGGCTCCCAAAGCCCAAAGCCCAAAGACCTTCAACATTAAGCCGTAAGCCCTAAACCTTATAAACCCTATAAACCCTATGCTCTCCTATATTTGACGGAGCAGTGCCATGTAGACTCTGCCAGGCGTTAACCTGCCGTAGACATACTTATCTCTTCGTGGGTATCTTTGAGGAGAGTCTGGAGAAATCTCCGTAGAGTTTGGGGGATTGCAGTTCAGCTTCTAGTTCAGAACAAACTTACATAGGCTCCATAGTAGTTCCCTTTTGGGAATTACCTCATAAGATCCTAAATATAAGCCGCAAAAAGGAACTAGAATGGAGCCTATGGGTAACTGGCACAAGACTTCTACCACATGTACCCATACTTCCGAGGATGAACAATGAAAACAGCGCCCAACCTTCACCGACGTATAGTCATCCTGAGACGTCCAGAGAGAATGCCACCTCCCAGGCAGCTTCGCAGAGATGTTCCAGAAGAGTGTGGGTCAGCATCCGTACTTCTCCTTCCCATTCAGCTCAGGCGAGTGGAAGTACTAGTAGGTCAGGTGGTCGAGATGGAGCTGCGTGCTACCAAGTTCGGTCGTGTTGGAACACGAAACGGACGTAATTTCCGCAGGATGATGCTAGTTCATGCAGCCAATGCCGCTCGCAGGGCCAAGTAGGGCGAATGAGTGCATGGGGTATGACGGGACTCGTGAAAGGAGTACATCTAGAAACATCCTTGAGAACAGGACGGGAAGGCATCAAACCCTATCCCGAAGCCAGTCTCCTAACACTTAAAATCCATACCGTAAACTGTCGGCCATATCCATACGTGCATGCAGACTGGAAGTTGGGCTGCAGCTCCATCATCCTCTTCGGGATCCTTTTCCTTAGCAGAAGGATTTTCGACCGCAGGACGAACCCCCTTTGAAGGAGTGCAGGCTCAGTGCTGCGATTCTGCACTCCCAAAGCTGCTTCTCTAGCACGTTTTCTTCTGAGTGGCCGCCAGCAGCATGGCTGGTGCTGTTATGGCTGCCGTTTGGGGAGCCCGGTTCAAGACAGAGGTTTGTACAGTTTGTAGGACAAGCCCCTTCCAAATAGATCCCCGATCCGTATTATATTCGGGTTTATGTAGCGGATTACAACACACTGCAAGGAAAGTCCCAAGTACGTAGATCATAGTTGCCAATCCTATTTTGGGGCTCTTCATGAAGAAGTATAGTATCTTGACAATATACCCTAAAAACTTTAATCTACTTATTAAGGCCCCCGCATGATGGAAACCCTTGCGGAAATCCGTATCGAACCCTTGAAAGGAGCCCTTACAGTCCTAAACCCTAAACCCTTATAGAACCCTTTAAAAGAACCCTTACATCCCTAAACCCTAAACCCTAATAGAACCCTTTAAAGGAACCCTTACACTCCTAAACTATAAACCCTAAACCCTTACAGAACCCTTATAGAACCCTTTAAAGGAACCCTTACACTCCTAAACCCTAAACCCTAAACCCTTACAGAGCCCGTTAAAGGAACCCTTACACTCCTAAACCCTAAAACCTAAACCCTTATAGAACACTTTAAAGGAACCTTTACACTCCAAAACCCTAAACCCTAAACCCCAAACCCTAAGCCCTTATAGAACCCTTTAAAGGAACCCTTACACTGCTAAACCCTAAACCCTAAACCCTTACAGAGCCCTTTAAAGGAACCCTTGCACTCCTGAGCCCTATAAACCCTAAACCCTTATAGAACCCTTTAAAGGAGCCCTTTCACTCCTAAGCCCTAAACCCTGAACCCTTTAAAGGAACCCTTTAAAGGAACCCTTACACTCCTAAACCGTAAACCCTAAACCCTAAACCCTTTAAAGGAACCTTGCACTCCTAAACCCTCAAACCTAAGCCCTAAACCCTGTAAAGGAACCCTTTAAAGGAACCCTTACACTCCTAAACCCTAAACCCTAAACCCTTTAAAGGAACCCTTTCTCTCGGGTTGATGACGGCGGGAGTCCATCCCCGAGCGGCAGCCACAGGCAACCTGGTCGGCTGGGGGTCTGCGATGTCGCTGTTTGCTTTTGGTGTATATAGATACAGATATGTATTATAAATTGTATTTTTGCTGACGTATATATACACACATACACATAATGTATGTGTGTGTATATATATATATGATATATATATATATATATATATTTGTGTAGAGCTACTTGTAGACAGGTAGGTAGGTAGGTAGGTAGGTAGGTAGGTAGGTAGGTAGGTAGGTAGGTAGGTAGGTGGGTAGGTGGGTGGGTAGGTGGGTGGGTAGGTGGGTAGGTGGGTAGGTGGGTAGGTCGGTAGGTCGGTAGGTCGGTAGATCAGTAGATCAGTAGATCAGCAGATCAGCAGATTGATAGATAGACAGATAGAGAAATAGATGATAGCTTGTTGTACACGGTACGGTGCTCAGGGTGTTTGGGGGGCTTCTGGTTCAAATCTTTCTCGGTTTCAGGTTCTGAGATTGGGCACCAAAACTTTCAATGAAGGCTTAAATGGTCTAACAAGGCTTAGAGCTCCGAGCTAGCGTTTCAGTTGTGGGGCCTATAGGGTCGAAGGTTCGGACTAAGACTAAAGGTTGAGATACAAAGTTTGAGGTTTGAGGTTCAGAGCAAGCTGCATCCATGCCCGGGGTTGAGGTATGTTAAGGAGAACGCTATTCACTTGTATCCTCCAGCTGCAGCATCGAGCAATAAACCGGGAAAGTAAATGCCAGTTACGAGTGGCAGTGTGTAGTACTTAGTATCGTATTTATGTGCATTGCAACAACTACTGCAGACCGTGAGCCAAGGCGATGGGCGCAGAGGCTGCTTCCCCAAACAGGTTTTGGGATGTATATAAGTTAGACAGGAGGACTAACGGGTGTGACCTACGAGGGTTAGAAGTGAATTTTAGGGTTTAGTATCGCTACTTTGAGGCATGTAGTTTTGCAGTTTTTTCTGGCAGCCTGAAGTATCGGAAGAGTTTTAAGGGTAGGAGTGTTCAATGGCATCGATCAAAGATGACACGAACATTTCAGCGGAAGTCGATCTTCAACCACAGTCATATACGCATGACATCTCAATGCGAACTCGAATTGGAAGTTAGCTGCTGTTCCCACTACCCTCTTTGGGGGCGGCGTGCGCCAGCGAAATTCAGGATGTGCTCCTCTTTTCAGGCGGCCACTGTGTGTGGGTAGCCACGAAAGCAGGTGCTAGATAGACGTGAGATGATGAACAGGTCTAAACTCCGAAAGGCATGATACACCCCTAAAGTCCTCAAGTTTACCCTAAACCCTCAACCCTAAAGTCCCAAACTTTGGGCCTTAAGCCCTGAATAAATCCCTAAAGCCCTGTAGACCCTGATTCCGATGATGCTGCTTTGATGTCCTACGTCCGCTTTCTGGCTGCCAGCCTCCGTCGAAGCTTTTGAAGCCGAGCCGGAGTTGCAGAAACCGCAGCTGGGGTGTCAGAGGGGTTTCGTGGGCTCGCTGCAGGGTTTTATATAAGGCTTTATGGCATGTTGTAGTAATTTTCGTTGAACAGAGTTCTGTATGTTTATAGTGTTCTGTATGGTTTTAGGGTCTGTATAGGGTTTGGGATGGGCCCCGACGCACAAGGATGAAGCACAAGGGTCTGCGGTCGACATTCCCTAAACCCTAAACCCTAAACCCTAAACCCTAAACCCTAAACCCTAAACCCTAAACCCTAAACCCTAAACAGGCTTTCTGGAACATTTTGTGACTGGCTATGTTTATAGACATACAGTCACACATATATCTGGTCATATCTACACTATGCTGTATACCGCTCCGAGTTTGCCTGGGAGTAGGCTTGGGAGTGAGTTGTGAGTGAAAAATTCAAGTTTAACCTGATCCGGTCCATGCCGGTGGGAATATGAGTGTGTTGACGCCACTATTTTCTGAAGGGCTCACTTCAGTGATAAGCTCGTGGCAAGCACAGGGCATGTGAGCAAAAGTGTCTGTGATTGTCTTGTTCAAGTCGTGTCTAGGGCGAAGGGCTGGCCAAGCCACTTCACCCCGCAACTCTGGCACAGTCCGGCTGCTGCGGCAACTCTGCCGGCGAAGAAGCTGCTGTGACCCTCGGGGTCTTGCGTCCATGCAGAAGCTCTGTCCCTAAAAACAGGGAGGCGGATGCGTGACTTTGCCATTGCACTGATGGGCTCCACAGTCAAACCCGACACAACCCTAAATAGGACGCAACTCAACTTTCAACTGTCGCGTGCAAGTTCCCAACCCACTCATCCATGGAGCCCAGTGACCCTCCGGCACTACAGGGTGTCCGAGGAGTTTGTAGAATCAGGGGCCACAACGGCATGCTGCTGCTTTTCATCGAAAGGCGCTCCTGTGGCAAAACAGAAGCCAGTCATGCAAGACATCTTCAACACTAGCCCGTGGAGGACGTAAACCCTGAAGGAAAGGGAACCCCGTCGGCTAAGTCTGTGATGGAGCTGAGGGTACTTGGATGGGCCGTAGAATAATGCAGGTCTGCGCGGCTTTCGCAGGATGCGCGATCTCAGTGCATGCCAATCGTCGCTTTGAGTCGGGGCTTGGGCGACACCCCGAACCTAAGTATCTGAACGAAGCGGAAGTCCAAATGCTGCTCAAGAGCCTCAATATGGGCCTTTAGAACTTCAGGTGTTCTCCACCCCAAAGCCTGCATGGACCTGTTGAAACCCTACTAAAAGGCCACGCCTGAAATTCTCAACCCCGGCTCCCCAACCTTCCCAGACCTCCAGCCCTACGCTCTCCCCCGAGGCGAAAGAAGGCCCGAAAAAACCAAAGCAACAAAGAGCTTTCTAGAAGCACCCGAAGCCCGGGGCCCAGAAAGCCCTATAAGCCCCTAACTGAAGCCTTACAACCCAAAGTCTTCAGCCCTTAGAGAGCTTCCTTGGGGGGGTTGCATGCCATGCCGCTTCAAGCCGTCTGCAGGGAAGCATGCTGCAGAGCAGGCCGTGGGTTTAGCAGAGATTGGGCGTACAGGGTTTGCAGGTCCCTTGATTTGTAGGGGGTTCCCTGGGGTTCTTTTAAAAGGGATTTGTATGGTTCTATCAGGGTTGCAGGGGGTGGCCGAGACCCTAACATGCAGTACCTTGTGTTTGTCACCTTAGGTTTCTTAGAACTGGGTGCGACTTTATACAAATAGCGTCTCGAAAGAAAGCTTGCCGGTGGTGTGCTGTAGATGAGGTATGTAGGTATCACACATATCAGATGTCATAATAGTTAGACTTGGGCTGGGAGGCTGCATGCACCCGCCCTCCGCTGGCAGTCCTTCACCGAAAATGCCCACAAGCCACCCTGAAGCCTCATCGAACTCCCTGGCCCCAACTCCCAAGTCGAAGCCCCAAAACCCCAACCCCAAACCCTACACGCCCCAAGCCCTAAACCCTAAACC